AAAACAAGTTTTCGTGTTGTTCAAATCATTATTTTACCGTCTATTTATAACAATGCTGTTCACGGTTGTTCGAACAACTAAAAACAACTTGTTCTTTTATCAATGTTGTTCACGCCTGTTCGAACAATATTGTTGACGCCTGATGAATGAACAACGCTGAACAACATTGTTCTGACAACATTTATCAAGCATGTTTCATCAACCTTGTCGGACGCTTGTTCCATCATGTTGCAACAACCATTGTTCGTTCATGAAGCGTGAACAAGTTGTTGGAACAATGTTGTTAACGATTGTCGCTTGAACAACGTTGTTCAGCCATGATAACCTCATTGTTGCAACGTTGTTCAGCGAACAATGTTGCAACAACCTGATCAATTTTTACGCGTGTATAATATAATAAATAAATAAATAAATAAATAAATTGAAAGGAAATTGAAATTGCTACAATACTTTTGACTGAAGGCCAGTGTGGCAAATTGAGGCCGAAGAATATGAGAGTAAAACAGCACTGCTGGCGCATAGCAAAATACTTTAAGCTCTGAGCACTGGTCAGCGGTCGACTCCATGAGCAATCACTCTCACATTTCCACCATACTGCAAACACGATTTTTGAGGCTAAGAAGCAGTCCAGGTATATATATATATATATATATATATATATATATATATATATATGTTAATGCGCATGACTCACTAGACGTATACATTTTTATCAAAATTTCCCTATATTGTTTCAGGTCCGGTACCGGGCATGCGCGAGGCCGTGGCTTAATGAGCATACTGTCTGAAAGTGAGGCTGATAAACAAAGGAAGAAAATAATTGAACATCACGTAAGTTTATCTTTTACATTCTTGTGTCGTCGGTTTTATAATAGAGAAGTTCTGATTTAACTTCCGCTACCTCTCACAGCCTTAATACGCATTTGATTGATTAATCGAGTACACGGCAAAAACGATCAGGTTGTTGCAATAGTTGATGAAAACAGGATTGAACGATGTTTTGCTGCCCGCATGTATTGTTCAATATTGTTGACAATTGTGAACAACGTTGGCAGCAAAACATTGTTCTATCCTGTTGAAAACAGCGGGCTCAGCGTTTTTACGCGTGTAGAATAAATGCATCTGATTGGTTATTGGCAACCACCCTAATACATTTGCAATGTATCGCATATCCGTTGCCCGCTTCAGAACTGTAAATTCTTGCGAGCAGGATATCCTATATTCAGTATAGACACCAAATTTTTATGTTTGGATTTTTCAACCAGGAAAGAAAAATCGTTATCCTGGACTGAGAATGTGTGTTCTTGTGTTATAGAAAGCGATCGAGCTTCAAGTTGAGGATCGAAGGCGACAAAAGATGGAGGAACGAGAACGTCGTCTTCGAGAAGAAGCTGTAGAGGATGAACGAGTGGCGAAGGAAAGAGAAAAATTACAGAAACAATTTGAAGAAGAAGTGATCAAAATGAAAGAAAAAGAGGTTTGATTATTCATTTATGAAGTCAGATCTTTTGTGATGCATGATTTTTCTGTTAATAGTTTTTAACATAACATGGCTCTATATGATGTTTGTGATGCTACTCTGAGTGTGCATCCACACTGGGCAAGCTGAAAAGTTAGCTTGGCCACGGTGGGAATCGAACCCGCGACCTTTGGGATACTAGTCCAATGCTCTGGCAGCTAAGCTACGTGGTCAAGTCGGTTCAAGTTGATGATATTTCGGAACCGAGTCTATATAGTTCCTTCGATATCAGTGTATTATATGATATGATAACCCGTGGCCAAGCTAACCTTAACTTTTCAGCTTGCCCGGTGTGGATGCACATTCAGAGTAACATCACAAACATCATATACACCTGAATACATAACACCAACACACACAAAATAATGGCTCTACAGGGTGTATCAAAATAAACGCAATTCATTTTTTGTGCTTAATAACTTTCGAAATACTATTTCTAGTTAAACGCTTTTAGGCTTACTTCAAAGCCTGTTCTTTTCTCTTTCAAACAAACTATTATCCTTGTCTCCAATGCTAGTAATAATTGCACAGGAAAAATTTAGTAAAACCTTTCATTTTTAGTTGCTGGATGTTTAATTATGCAAGTTTACTATGTTATTGTTTAGTCGGTTTAAATGTTAGAATTTTCTTTTTTAAACTTTAATGTTGTCGTCACTACATCTGGAAAACCACGTAAGAACAAATTAAAAGTATTTTAAAAGAGACCAGGTTGTTTGAAAATCTAAACGAATGCTAAAAATCGTCAAAACATTCTGGTGTCTGAGCCAGAGTGTCATCGAATTGCGATGTAATGTAAACAGAAATTATAGCAAGTTGATGTCAGTCAGCTTAGATGGTCAAGCCAAAATTATATCGCATTTGAAGTTTCAAACTGAGTTAAAAATAGTGGAAGAAAAGCCGTAATTATACTTATTGTTACAATCCATTTAATAAATGCAACATTTTTTTGTTTTAATGAAAAAATCAGTTATTTTCATGAGAACGTTTAGTTATTCCATCTCAATTTTTTTAATCTCCAATCGCAATAACGTAAAGTATTATTACCCGCGAACCAATGAGTCAAATTTAAGAAACAACCCACTGTTAGAAAGCTGAATGGCTACGCTTTAAAATGAATGTAAACTTTAACGTTTTCATCTATATTATTTGTTTAGCAATTTATATTTCAGTCGAGGATTGCGCTTTTTTTTATACACCCTGTATATGTCCGAAATTGCGTTGTAAGTTGCAGCAGAAATTGCCTCATGTAACATGGCCATGTAACACATTTGCGAGGTCCCATGAGGGGTGCGAATTATACTAGTTCCACTGTAATTCTGTATTTAGTTATTTTGGGATGCCATAAATGTTAGTTTACTTTGATCATATTGTGGCAGTGGCAAATGTTAGTATACTTTAACTATATTGTGGCTATGCATGAACCAAGACATCCCACTATCTGTTTTTACGTTAATTCTAATATTGGTGTTGGATATAAATTTAGGAGCAGGCAAAACGTCGTGCTCAGGTGTTACAAGAAGGAATTTCTAAAGCTTTCGAGTCATCCCAGCAGGTATGTGAAACAATCTATTATTCGTGTCTGAATATATCGATCTGGCAACATGCTTTCATTGAGCGAAATTGGTCCCTCAATCCTATAGCCACATGCATGCAACTCTGTATCTTTGCAAATATGCGTATTTCCTAACATGCATGTCTGCGAAAATAGCTGCAAAAATTGGGAATTGTTAGCATAGGCTTTGTTTCCATGATATTCCCTTTTCCTTTGACCAATCCCACACGATTCCCAATTTTCACAGCTATTTTCGCAAACACAGATTTGGAAAATTTTGAAAGACACAACGAAAGGCATATGTCCGAACGTTGGCGTTTTCTAAATATTTTCGGATAGTGCAGGCACCAGCTCAGAAGACTACCCACATTAACACCGCGGTCAAACGTAAAACACGTACGCGAGTATACGCAAATGGCGGGGGGAAATGTCTGCCAATTAATAATAGGAGTTAATATGGAGAAAGAAAAGCGTTTACTATACGTTACGGACGTTTGACCGCTGTGTTATACCCACATTGGATTCCCACCATTCACTGTTGTTATACATCCGTTGTTATACATCCGTTGTTATACAGTACATCCGTTGTTATACAGTACATCCGTTGTTATACAGTACATCCGTTGTTATACAGTACATCCGTTGTTATACAGTACATCCGTTGTTATACAGTACATCCGTTGTTATACATCCGTTCTCATTTTCTGTTTAGTTAAAACGCGATAAGAGAAAGAGTCGCTTGCAAGGATCAACGACAGAAGGCGAGTGAACAATATTTCAATGATATTGCATATCTATATAATAATATACTTATGTTCGTATTGAGCGGACATTGAAAATGTTTAACTAAAGATTACACTATCTGCGTGAGTATAATTATTGAGTCATGTATACTCCAACTGAAAACATGCAATTACCCCCTGCACAGCAGTATAAAAATTTCTTCACTAAACATCATAAATAATTGATGATTTCTGAAGTTATACACCCATCTTTTCCTCACACCTGCGCAATGTTAAGTCTAATAATGGGTCAGACGTTCTCTGGTCGTATTTTATTGAAACAGGTTAATAGTGACAGGAGAAAAAATATATATATACAGTATATATATTACAAGTATGGCCTAATTTATGCTAATACATACGTATATGTATTTTAGCATATAGATTAGGCCATACTTGTAATATATATATGTTTTGTCCTCACTGTCATTAATTTTTAACTTGTTATTGAAAGCTTGTCTCAATAAAATATTATACAATCATGCAGAGCATCATCCGTGTTGGTATAATCACAGAATAACAATTTAACCAGAAGTCCCACTCTCGACATACCAAAAGCTGATTACACTTGTTTAGCGATCTGGAAACGAGTGCGTTGTATAAATTTGTATGGCTTGGCCGCGCTCGTTTTAGATAGCTAAACAAGTGTAATGTGGAGACTGGAGCTTTCTGGTTAAATTGTTATTCTGTGGTATAAATTAAAAAGGAAAACGAAAATTCATTGAAGTAACTGTTGATTATAGTCCAGGGCTGGATTTATTGGGGGGTGCGCACCCCTGTTGGCCTTGGTCAACAGTGCCGCAGAGAGGTTGGCGGGGGCCCGGGGCAAAATTTTTTTGGGGGGCCCCCTTTCCGAAAAAAAATTTTCCGCCGGAAAAGTTTTTTTCCGGACAACAACCTCCTCCCCCCCCCCC